GTGAAAGATTATGACAAGTTAAAACCTCATTTTTCTTTATTTTCTGCAAAAAAAGGGGGGAAAAAGTAGTCCTGCCAGTTCTTTTGCAGAATCACTTCACGCGGAGCCAGAAATCATTCAAAGCCGAAGCGGCGGCTCCGACGAGTGGTTTTCGTGTTCCAAACGTGCATATGTTGCACAGAGCATCTAATTATTCTTAGGGACAATTACTGTCAGGTTCCAAAATGTGCTCAATGAGCAGCAATTGGTGTTTATTCAGCTTTTAAAAGACTATGCAAGGGAACTGTAGGTTATATTGTCTGCCTGAAGAAGCGTTTTGCCATCCGGAAACATCTGCTTTCTATTTAAAGCTGTGGAGAAGGGATAGGAGTGTTTCAGATATACTCCCTGAGCACTGAACACCAAAGAAAGGGGGATGAGACTGGGTCTGAAGGTGGATTCTGCTCTCTGATCCGCACTGGTCCCTGCTGGGAGGGATCTGCAGCCCCGTGGGCTGGGAAGTTCTGATTCTGTTGACTCCCCTTATTCCGATTTGCACACACATAGGACCTGACAGCGATGTCCTAGATACAGCACTTGTCCTCTCTCAGGTGAGGCTAAATTAGCTTTCGAAGTTGGGGTCCGTTTCTCCGAATTGAAAGTACTCCAATTCTGCTCTTTTTGTTGCTTGGCATCACCTTGTGACCCTGCGCTCTCTGTGTGGCTAACGCTGCCCACGCACAGCTGTTAGGAGGATCTGATGAGGATATTGCCCTCCGTGTGGTGTGTGGTAAACTTTCTGTGAAGGACACGGTCTTCGTTATCTATCTCACCGTAATAAACCACAAATTCAGCAGCTTAAGCAAACCGTGTTCCTGTAGGGCAGGAGTCTGAGTGTGTCGGGTGCCGTGGTCAGGTATGGGCTGAAGTCTCACATGAAGGCTTGATTATAGAAAGATCTGGTTTGGAACTCACATGGTTGTTGGTAGTATTCTGTCCTCTGGGGCTATTGGACCAAGGGCCTCAGTTCTTCTCTGGTTGCTGGCTTGAGTCTTCTCGATGCCTTCCAACGTAGGACTCTTAATATTCCCGACAGCCAGCGAGGGCGAGTTAGTTGAAAACAAGTTACAATTCTGTATAACTTAATCACACACATGGCCACCCATCACCTTTGCTGCGTTCTGCTGGTTGAGAGAGTCAGACTGAAGTGTAAACCTGTAATCCCAGTGCAGGAGGTCGAGGTAAGAGCATCACAAATTGGAGGGCTGTGGGGACTAACACAGACCCTGCCTAGGAAACCCTGGGCCCCAAACACACAAACAAAGACCAGAATAAATGACATCTTCCCTGCATGCAAGGGGAGGAGAGTACATTGGGAACCACGCTGGAGTCTGTATACTGTCCACAGCTACTGTCTTAACTATTCTTATAGTTAAGAGGGAGTTGAAGTTTCCAGATACGCCACCTATTGTGGGACCCAGGCAGGTCTTTTGGCCATTCTGAGCCTGTCTCCTCCACCTGTACAGCACTTTCCCCGCAAGATTATTGTGATCCTAAATGAGGAATCCCATATGCAGAATGCTAAGCAGTTGGTAAATGTCAGCGCCTGGCTGTTCTTTTCATCCTGGTCTTTTTTTTTTCCCCCACTTGAAATAACATTAGACTTTTTGAATATCAGAAGAATAGCTTGAAACTCCCCAGTACTCTCAGATTGGGTTATTCATGTGGAAATCCCAGTCCTGTAGGTGGCTTTCTGGATACAGAGCTTCAGTTAGACTGGATGTGAAGGTCCAGGTCCTGTGTGTCCCCATCCCCCACTACACATACCCCCACCTGTGTTTGCCGGGACCTCAGGGCCAAGGAATGCAGCTCTGTGGCCTCAGTGGAGCCACAGGTTTTTGGTACAGTGAACACTCAGAATGGGTCTGGTGAGAGTCCCCACAGTATCCTCCTCGGCCTCTTTCTGTAGAAGGCCTGGCTGTGGTGACCAGGGGTGTCCAGATGAACCCCCGGACCTCCCCACCTCTGTGTATTTCTAGTTGAGGTTCTGATGGCAACTCAAGGCTTTCAGATTCCAGGTCTGAGAAGGCCAATTTGGAGATGGTGGCCTTCGATCTGACTGCTCACCAAGTCATGCCAAGCAGACAGCAGGCTACTTTGGCCGTACCAAGTCTGCCATTGTACCTTACCTTCCAGTCTCTCTCCCCACTTTGACTGAGTGCCTGACTTCCTCAATGCTGCCTGCTTTGAGGACACAGAGTACGCTTAGAAAGTCATTGTGGAACACAGCGGGCCTCCTACCTTCTCCCCCTTCCTCCCTGGTCAGAGCCCCGTCCTCCGACCAGAGCACCTCTGCCTTCCTTCAGCCCCCTCTCCCAATCCCTCGCATCCACAGACTCGTTCTTGGTCCCACGGTTGACTCCCAGGGCTGTAGGAGACTTTTCAGGAGTAGATGAGCCACTAACAGTCAACTGTGTCATTCTGGGTAAGGGATGCTGGCTGTGGGGACCACGTCCTCTGTTGTTTCCTGAATCCTTGGGTAGTGTCTAAGGAAAGCACTCTCCCAGATTTTCAGAAGGTAACAGTTACCTAGAACTCTTGTTGTAGGAGAAGTCCTTTTACTAGAGAGTCATGTGCCAGGAGTTAGGACAGGCTTGGGAGCTGGTAATTTTAGTAATCATGGATAATTGCTGTCATGAAGGTTTAGCAATCAAGTGTCCACATGTTGCCTGCTTACCCCCAGCCCTAGCCCTTCTTCCTTCTTCCTTGAGAGCCTGGGCTCTGTCCCTGAAAGGGGTCCTCTCTGACCTGTTGGCCTACTGTTTAGTGTCGAAGGAAAGGGCAGCAGAGATCCAGTACAGTTTAACCTGCCAGATTCTCTGTAGTGACAGCTGTTCAGCCCTCCTTCCCCTCACATATGCAGACCGTTGCTTGAGAATGTGTTTTTCTTTATAGTGTTGTATTTGGATGATTAGAAAGCTAAACTGTTGGCTTGTGAGTGCCACAGCTGGGACATCCAGACGGCAGACTTCCCCACCTCGTATTCATGAGTGTGTGCTCCACACAGCTTGGCCTCTGGACAGCAGATGTGAAACATTACAGCGAGAATCTTCCTTTTGTTTCAACAGCTGTCACTTCAGCCACTGGAAGGCTGTGGGTTTGGGATGAAGCAAGTGAACTTGAGGATCATTAAAGGAAATGCCTGCTCTTACTTTTTCCTGCTCCCTGGGCCTAGAGAGGCACAGGAGTGCCAGCCCCAGGCTGCTCTTCTGGGATACCAGCTTTAGAAGCCGCTCTATTGGCATTACATTCATACCGTTCTCTTCCAGAAGTTTCCTCTAACACTGTGCCGATATCCGTGATATTATCTGACATCCCTTGTATGAGGCTCAAAGAGTAAATTGCTTTCCTAGAATAAAGTTTTCCCTTGAGAGCTGTGTTTCCAATAATGCATCTTCTGCAGATGCTGTTGGGGGAGCCGCATCAGGGCCAGAGACCCCTCTGCCCAGCACCTCCCCACTGAAAGCATAGCACTCCAGACTTGGAACTTCTGTGTCCACTGGGAGAGCTTCATCATCTCTTCTGAATTGTTGGGATTTTAAAAATTCATTTGACTAAACCAAATCAAACCTTCTAATTTAATTTTGCATCTTTAATCAATGTTTACTATAGTGTTTTTTGTTTTTTTGTTGTTGTTGTTTTTTCGAGACAGGGTTTCTCTGTGTAGCTTTGCGCCTTTCCTGGAACTCACTTGGTAGCCCAGGCTGGCCTTGAACTCACAGAGATCCTCCTGGCTCTGCCTCCCGAGTGCTGGGATTAAAGGTGTGCGCCACCACCGCCCGGCTAGAATTTTTTTTTTTTTCCCCGAGACAGGGTTTCTCTGTGTAGTTTTGCGCCTTTCCTGGAACTCACTTTGTACAGCCCAGGCTGGCCTCGAACTCACAGAGATCCGCCTGCCTCTGCCTCCCGAGTGCTGGGATTAAAGGTGTGCGCCACCGCCGGGCTATAGTGTTTTTTTTAACTTTATTTTTGCATGCTGGTAACCCCAACCCCCCCACCCCCCGCCTCATTTTTGTCTTATTTTTGAACACTTAAATAATTTTTGAGATCGCTTGCCCATAAAGCTTTTCTTCAAAAAGCAGATTTTGTGATGAATCTGTTTCATTTTTTTTTTGTGACTTTGTTAAGTAGGTACTTCCAAGTATGACTGTGTAGTGAATTCTGTTACAGTTTTAAAATCTGTCTTAGTTACTAGTGCCTGTTTTCAGGACCTAATTAATTCTTTACTAAACAGGAACAGCATCGATAACATGTTAACTTGGTTAGTTATTTTTTAGCAGTCACAGGAAATGATCACAGGCTTGTGGGATGACAAAGATTGCAGGTCAGTGTCAGACTGGAGAGGAGAGGGTCCGATAGAGCATGAAACTAAAGGGAGAGCTACACAGAACGCGAGCGAAGGCCCCAACCAGTAAAGCCCTTACTGGTTTCGAAAGCAAACTGGCACTTCTTCCAAGGACAGAAAATAATTCGGTCATTCAAAACACTCCCTCAAATTTGAGAAATACTCAGATGAAATATTAAGCTTCAAATGGGTTGCAAAATCCTAAAGTTGACGCAGAGTCTCCCAAAATAAATTTGTTAAAAATTTTCTAAAATGAATTAGTTCCAAAGTGCCCCCTCGGCCTCAGAAATACCAATAGGATGTCAGAGAAACAAACAATAGGACACTTGACAGGGATGTAAAAACTCTCACCAAAGGGTTTCATTTTAAGCACATTGCTCATTAGGCCAGTTGCCCAGCAGCTCGAGGTAGCTGCAGTTAAATGGAGTGTGGGTTGCAGAAGCTACTCGCAGGGTATCTCTCTCTTCCTCCTCCTCGTTTTAATTGTTCTCATGCATATGTATCTTTGCCGAAAAGCTATTTAAAATCGTATGAGACAGTGGGTGGCCTAGAAATCATAAATTATACATTAGGTCAGGTTCCATTAATTCACACACGCACATCTGTCCTGTTGCAGAGAACAGCCCATCTTCACCACTCGAGCGCACGTCTTCCAGATTGACCCCAGCACCAAGAAGAACTGGGTGCCCGCGAGCAAGCAGGCCGTCACTGTTTCCTATTTCTACGATGTCACCAGGAACAGCTATCGAATCATCAGTGTTGACGGAGCCAAGGTACTGCCCTGACAGACCATCTTGACATCCTCCCTTATTTTTATTCCAAAGCAATATGGTGTATTTGAAAGATGAAGGGAAGAGCTGTATCCCCCAACCCTGCCGTCTTATTGCAGTAAGATAACCATAACATCTGCATAATCACATATCTTGCTCTTCCTTTCCCACCTAAAATCATGACAAATGAGAGCAAAACAGATTTCCCTGTTAACCTCACTGTCTTCATAATTAACATTTTAATGCCTATGCAGTGATTACATGAAGGGCCTATAATGATCTTAATTTCTTTACGGTGTCTTCAGTTTCTTGCTGTTACAGATATTAAGCATTCCCATGTAGTGAATATCCTCAGTTGTTCATTATGTACCTATTGCTTCCTTTTGAATATTTCCTCGGGGTAGATTTCCACAGGTGATATTATAGGTCATGCTATTAACACTTTATGGGCCTGGATGCATACGGCCAGAGCACTTCCCAAAGGGTTCTTTGGCCTGTATGAGGATGCTAGTTTATTACACCCTTGCAATCCATGAATGTTTCCTCTAATCTGGTTCTGGTATTATTAGACATGGGAATCAATTTTTATTAAATAATTTGGGAATATTTCTTTTTTTTTTAAGAGCAGGATGTTATTATGTAGTCCAGGCTAGATGTGAACTAGAGGCAATCCTCCAGTCTCAGTCTCCTGCGTACTGGCATTACAGGCATGTACTATCATATTTGACTTAGTATTTTATACAGTACTTTTCATTCCTGATATCTCATTATTTTGCTTTCCTATCTGTATATATTTTTGCCACATTATTTGTGGAAAGAGGAGGAAGGGATGCCAGCAACAGTACTACCATGTCTTTAAAATTAAACAGCTCCTCTGCACTATAGCCTCTCTGTCTGTAGTCCTGTCCACCCTGCTGGTAATTTTTCTGTGTCACCTGAAATCCAGTGCGTTTGGAGGTGGAACCCATTTACCATCCAAACCACCTCTATGTTTTTATTTTCCAGTATTTGGTATAAAAACCATAGTTTGTCTTCTGATTGTTTTTTTTGAACTGTAGCTCCTGCCAGGCAGTAGTGGCACACGCCTTTAATCCCAGGACTCAGGAGGCAGAGGGAGGAGATGAGTTCGAGGCCAGCCTGGTCTACAGAGTGAGTTCCAGGACAGCCAGGGCTACACAGAGAAACCCTGTCTCAAACAAACAAACAAAAACCCACAAACAAACAAAGAAACAGCAACCACCACAAAGTGAGACAAACAAACCCATCTGCTGTCAGCAGCCTCGCAGCATTACTTTGGCTGGCGGCTCCTCACCTCCTGTCTGCGGTCCCTTGTGGATTCTGCCCCTAGGTCAGCTTTCCTAGACAACAGAGTAGAGAGCTGAGCAGTAGTGTCTCCATTAGAAGGTTCCCCAGGTAAGACACCAGACCCACCAGGGCCTCCACATCTGACGCAGGCCCCAGGGTCCTCTTCGTGTCTCCTTTGGGCTTTCAGCATCACGATGTCTAGAGATGAGGGTGAGTGGTCTCGTGGCCCTGTCTTTCCCTCCCCATTTCCACAACCCCACCTCCCTCAGCAAAGGACCCAAAATGTCCTCCTTTTTTATAGCTGAGGTCTAAGTACAGGTAGTGAGGTACACTCTGGGGTGGTATGGTGAGCTGGTGCTGGTGTCCAGTCCCTACACCAGCAGCTCCTGACTTGTTGGTTTGGCACACAAGGTTCACTCTGACAACCAGAGAAGCATTTCCTGAGATTTTTCAGGCAGGGACTGTGTGGCCCCTCTCATTCCAGGGAACAGCAGTTGGTCTGATGAGCGTCTTCTGAGACGCAGCTGAGATAGACCATGGAGGCCATCGTAAGGGGTGGTCAGTAGCAAGGAAGCTGGACATGTAATGGTGTCTCATCTGGAAGGTGCCTTGATTTGCAAGTGCTGTATTTGACTTTATTTTTACTTCTGGGAGGCACAGTGGGGCTGCAGTTGTAATTGCCGTGTCTCTGTGCTTCTGAGCTGGAATCACTTGGGCTCTTTCCAGGACGTTCTGACGGGCATGGAGAACGGAGCTGACCTGCTTCCTTTCATCTGTAGATTCTGTCAGTACAACTGCCATCCCTAGATGGGTTTCTACCCTTGTCTGCTGAGTTGCCCAAGGATGCATTGGGCTTAACTATAGATAAAACAGCATCCTTACAGCAAGTATGCTGGTCATTAGGGAGGCTTTTAGTCATTTGTCAAACTGTCAGCCACTGTATCATTAGGCCTCTGCAGTCCCTGCAAGAGGTGGCAGTGTGGTGGAGTCCAAGCCAGCTGAATTGGCTCTGAGGAGTCAGACGGGTACGGGAAGGTGAGCTACGTGGTAATGGTGTAGTGGAGGTAACTCAGGCCCCATGTAGGCTGTTCACTGACTTAGAGCGGTGCTGAGGAAATGGGAATTGGAAATGTAGACTGTGAGCAACCCTGAAATTCAGAGACTAAGCCAGAGCTTCTTGGGCTACCTCCCCGCCATGTCCCTACCCTAGTCACCTTGTGTTCTTGAAGTCCACCTAGAGTGCCAGCTTGACCACTGCAGCACAGAGAACTGGGGCAGAGCCTCGTGTTTCAAAGGGAGCAGAAGGCCAGGGAATGTGGAGATGGGTTAGACTGAGTCACTGGGTCACTACCCCTTGGAGCCAAGAGCTGGGGGCGGGGGCATGTCTTGGCTCAGTAGATGTGGTTTCAACACTACCCCAGTCCTGCTGGACCCTCCCTTGACCCAGCAGCAAGTCAGATGGACAGGCAACATCTAAGTGAACCTGCTTCCAGCTTCCATAGTTAGGTGGGGCATGGAGATAGGGCCTCAGACCATAGTAGCTATTACCCCCGGCTTGCCCTTCTCTGCCCAATCTGAAGTCTGGAAGTCTCAAGTCCCAGCTCCTGCTCTGACTGAATAAATTTCTTGTCTTCCTTCCCGTGGCTGTGATAAATGTAGTATGCTGAGCTGATTGCTAGGTGCCTGTGCTGACACGAGGCCTCCACTTCTTGACTCTGGCCTGTCGACTCCCCTCAACATCTCTGTGCAAGCAGAACGGCTTGTTTCTGGTTTTGAACAGCCATTGTGGTTCCGTGTTCACTTAGGCCTTGCCTCCCGCAAGCCAGACATCCACGGTCCAGCCACCGTCTTGTGAGCTGACCACTCGAGCATGGACGCACACCAGCCCCGGGGGAGTGTGGCTACTCTGTCACTCCTCATCATTGTGTTCTCCACCACGTGAAAATGACTCTGTTTTGTTCAAGGCCTTTGATTGTAGATGCTGATCTGAATTGGGAACCATGTCTCAGCTTGTGGGCCAGACCCTTGATTACCCAAGGCAGGCCGTGGTCCTGCTCCTCTTTGTTAGCCTGTACATATCAAACTCATGATCTCAAGCTTCTGCTTGGCATGTGTTGGGCCAACTGTGTCTCCCAAAGCACAAGGTATTGCTTACTGGAAAAGCATATTTGTCTTGTCCCTCTTGGATGGAGCAGATGTACTTTAGTTACAAGTCGCTGGGATGGAAAGGGACTCGAAGGTCATTTTGAGCTAAGGCCACTCGGGATGCAATAGCTGTATGAACCCAGCTGCTGGAAGAGCACAGGCTCTCCTGGAGGGAAGTGCTGGAACCAGCAGCTAAGCATCCCGTCCCAGGCACTGCAAGTGTCTCTTCCCTGAGGTGCACCGAGGGCCTCGCCTACCTGAGAGCAAGCGGGCTGCTTATTATAGGATGCTCTAATTCCACCCTGTTCTTTAGTTTTCTTGAAACATTAAGACAGGTGCCATGTGTCCCTTCTAGTTTAGTCTAAAGACATGGCCTGGTGAGAACCCTGCTGTGTGGTACCTCAGTATTTCCCAAGCCCTGGGAGGGGGATATGGATTCCATGTCTATGTGGAACTGCCCGGATACCGAGTTCCTTGCAGATGGGCTTGGGGAGAGGTATGCCTGGCTTACTTTCTTGTCTCAGAGCCAAGCCGGAGTGGGTAGCACCGTAGACAAGGTGGAGAGTAAGATGATGGAGGAGTGAGCTGTGCGGAGGTCAGGCCTGGCTCCCCCTCTCCACGGTGCAGCAGGTGTGCTGTGGGCACAGAAGGAGAGTGAGCAGGGGTACAGCCACTGCCAAGGGTGAGCCAGGGAAGGTTCACCCTGTTCACAGATGACGGACAGGTGGGGGCCACAGACGTACAGAGCCGAATTCCCAGCTTCTTAGCCCACCGCCGTGAGCCATGGCTGTCACAACAGCCACATGACTGGTGGTGAGCTCTGCACAGGATGGCCAACTCCGTCACGACGAAGCTCCATTTCCAGAGCATTTGTTAACTGGGCATTGCAGCCTCGATTTCATTGTGCGTTTGGCACCCTTTGTGGACCAAGTTAATCGCTGCCATCCTTCTGAGAAGCTGCCTGTGCCTGTGGGCAGGGCTTGCTTGGCACAGGTGCTTCTCCCGGGGGCTCTGGCTGACTCTCCTGCCCTTGGCTCCTGGTTATTTATAGGATTACAGAAAAATCCACATTAGCAGAGACCTGAGAGGTCGTCTGTTCTACAAATATTTAGCGGTGCTCACTGTGCCAAACGTTCTGCCTGATGATGATAGGTCAAAGGGCAGAAACAGATGAAACCCTAGAATGCTTAGGGTGTTCTCGGAATGTAAAGTTGCTTTCAAAGACACCATCAGGAGCCGGGGGATGGCTCAGCAGGGGCGGGTGCTTGCTGCCAACCTTCAAAGCCTGGCTTTGGCTTTGGTCCCTGAGACCCACATGATGGAAGGCAAGAACTATCTCCCGAAAGTTACCCTCTGGCCTCCATAAATGAATAGTAGCATGCATGTTCTCTCCCCTCTACCCCCCCCACACAAATACATGTAATATTTTTTTAAAAATTAGAATACAGTTCCCATCTTCCATCCACCATTGTCGTTTCCTCTTGAAAAGAAATGCCAAGTCCCTCTGTTAAGGGATTGAGTTTCTGGAATGTTCCTACCACACAGTAGGTTTT